AGTATTTTGGGCCGGCCCGGTGGCGCACTGCTACAGTGCGCCGCTTGGGAGCACGGTGGCGCTCCCGCTGAGGGTTCGGATCCCACATACAGACCGGTTCCCGCTCACTGGCTGAGCGAGGTGCGGGCGCAGCACCAAGGGTTGCGATCCTGTTGCCGGTCCGGTCCGGTACGGGCACGACACTGAGGGTTGCGATCCATTGCCGGACACGAAAAAAGACAAAAAGGAAAAAAAAAAAGTAGTATTTTTTCTTGAGATTAAGGAGGCACCGTTCTATTTACTCCTAGTTTACTGTTTTTTATATATATATATCATGCATGGATATTGAATTTATTAAATTATTTTCATGTATCTACTGAGAAAATGATCAAATTTATTCTGTTAACATGTTGACATGTTGATTTTCAAATGTTAAAGTAACTTCATTCCTGGAATAAACTCATCTTGGTCATGATGTATTATCTTCTTTATGTATCACCTGATTCAATTTGCTAACGTTTTGTTTAGGACTTCTGCATCTGCGTTCATGATTGAAATTGGCCTGCAGTTTTCTTTCTCGTTAGGTTCTCGTGATGGTTTTAGTATCAGGGTTATGTTGGTCTCCTCACAAGAGTAGAGAAATGTTTCATTTTCTTTTGTCTTTTGGAAGTGTTGTGTGAATTAGATTTATCTCTTAAATGTTCACGAGAGAGGTGTGTTAAAACCTCCCACTAGTATACATCTACACACTTCTCCATGTAGTTCTGTTAGCTTTTGCTTGAGGTATTTTGAGGCTGTGTAATCAATTAGATGCATATAAATTTAAGAACTGTTAAGTCTGTTGAGTGTACTTTGTCTTTACAGCATATCCCTTTGTAAGTCTAGCATTTCTTTTTGCCTTAAAACTTACTTTTCCTGATATTAATGTAGCTATGCTAATGATTTTTGGGGGGACTTTATTTGCAGAATGTATTTTTCTCCATAATTTTATTTTCCACCTTTCTGTATTTTACATAGACACATCTTGTCAATAGCATATAAATTAAAAGAAATACAGCCTGATAGCTTGTTTTCAACTGGAGAATTTAGTTGATTTAATAGTTTTTGGGGGGTGGGAGTTAAATCTATTTGCTTGCCTCTGGTCCCACTAGCGCCACGCGTCTTTCGCGTGATTTGGACTTTCTTGCCTTCCTTTCCTGCTGATTTTTTTTCTATTTTTTGTGGCAGTTGGCCGGTGCTGATTTGGGGGCTATAAGGCTGCGCTCGAAGCAGCTGAGCTAACCGGCCTTCTTTTCGATGGACTGTTGTTATTCCATTTCTTCCCCTCTGTTAGCTTGGCAATTGTACACTCTTCTACTACCCTTTTAGTGGTTCCTTAGAGCTTACAACTTGCACTCTTACCTCCTCAAAATCTAATGTTTTTAGTACTGTTATCTTCTTCCTCGACAATTCAAGAACCAATTCAATACGCTAACTCCATCCATCCCCTTCCGGAGTCACATACCACTATTTTAATTCTCTGTATTTGAAACCGTAAGACATTCTCTTTGTTGTTTTATGCAGTCAGTGTCCATTTAGACTTCCCCACATTGTCATTCTTTTCGTGTTCTGTCAATTCCTCCTGCGTTTGGGATCACTTCCCTTCCACCTGAGACACTGTTGCGTCTTTTCTTGGTGTGGGTCTGCTGGTGATGAATTTGCTCTTTTTGTCTGTCTGACAATATCTTGATTTTACCTCCATTCCTGAAAGATATTTTTGGTGAGTACAGAACTTTGGATGGTGGTTATTTTCTTTCAGCACTGAAGATATAATTCCACCGTCTTCTGGCCTCAGTTGTTTCTGTTGAGGTGTCTAATTACCGCTCTATTGAAGGAATGTGTCTTTTTCCTTTTCGTCTGGCTGCTTAGATATATATATATATATATATATATTTTTTTTTTTTTCCCACGCATGTGTGTGTGTGTATACATATATATTTGGCAGTTGGCTGGTATAAGGATCAAACCCTTGAACCTTTTTTTTTTTTTTTCCACGCATGTGGGTGTGTGTATACATATATATTTGGCAGTTGGCTGGTATAAGGATCAAACCCTTGAACCTTTTCTCTTCCTGAATTCTGGCCCAGTAATTGTTCATTCTCTCATGAGCTCTCTCATGATTTCAGGCTGGATTTAGAAATATCTCATACAGCTTTCCTACCAGGAAGGCTGCTGTGAATGACTTAGTCTGCCATCACCAGAGTGGAAATTCTTCCTTATACACTTTAGGATACACTTTGTCAAGGACCATATAAAATCCTGTTGGGATTTCCGTTGGAATAGTTTTGAATTTATACATTATCAAGGGGAGAATTGACATCTTTAAGAGACTTAACCTTCCTATCCACGAGTAAGTGCATCTCAATTTATTAAGGTCTTCCTTATAGTTTTTAATAGTCTTATCGTTTTTCCTATAAAAGCCTAAAGCGACACTTATCTCTGCCCCTCACCCTCACACAAAGGGCTGGCTAGTGCAGTCCCCTGTGTGCCCAGGAAGGAGAGGTGGACCAGACACGTGGAGCAGAAGGTCTAGCATGAGGGGAAGATGACACACGCTAACTCGCTGAGGTCAATCCATCCCTGCACTTCTGAGAAAGCCCAGCTTGGCCAGGCACTACTGATTTTCATGCACTGCTGGTTTGCAGTTGCTAAGATGATTTTATAAGTTTTGCATCAGTATTCATCAATTAGAAGGACCTATAATTATTCTGTACTGTCCTGTCTGAATTTGATACCATGGCTATATTTCATTTATGAAAACAGTTAAGTGTTTCCCCATTTTCTGTTCTTAGGGGGGTTTGTTTTTTGGGCATAAATGACCTGTTAAACCTGTCTGGACCTGACATTTGTGCGTGGATTTCAAACCAGATTTAATTTCTTTAACGTCAAGTGCCACTTCTTTGTAGTATTATCATGACTGTAATATTTCACTTGTGTGATTTTTTGATTAAGACTGAATGAGGGAAAGCAGCCTCCAAAGTGCTTGGTACCCAGGAAATGCTCACCGGACACTGTCCCAAGTATTAACTCACTGTGACTTCACAAGACTTCATGAGGTAGAAGCTGTCAGTACCCCTACTTCTACATGGGGGAACTGGGGAACAGAGAAGGGAACCACCTACCTAAGTTCCTTTAGCTTATCAGCTGCAGAGTCAGGAGGGAGCCCTTTGTAGCCAAGGGTCCAATTACTCCAGCATGTTGCCAGCAAATGCAGGACTCACATGGCCCAATCTCTGCCTTTTTGCATCCTAAATAATGGGTTCCCAGTGAGTGAATGAATGAATGAATGCTGGGTCCTGCCTCTCATCCTGCTGGGGGACACTGAGCAGCCATCATGCCCAGAAGTCCAGCCTTGTGCCAGCAGACCCGGGTCACTGATTCTGAGGTCTGAATGCAGGTGGGCAGCTCGGGAAGCATGGGGCCCTGGCTCGGCCCCTTTGTTGCTGTGGTTCTTGGCTGGAGTGGGCATCTAAGCCTCCTGGGTCACTAAGCATGCAGATTCCTAGGCCCAGGGAGGGGACCCTCTGGGGGAAGCGTTGGAACCCAGGTGTCTGTGACCATGACTCTTCCCTCAGTGAACCCTGCTGCCCCCGTCACCAAAGATCAGGGTGGGTTGCAGCAGCTGCTGTTCTGAGCCCTGGTTGGCAGGCTCAGGTCGGAGATCCACATCCCCCAGTCACCTGGGTTGCTGGAGCCAGACAAGGTTCTTGGCGTTGTTGGCAGGGGAGGGAGATGGGAGTGGAGGCCTCAGGGGAGGACTGGCCTCTCTCTGGGCCTCAGTGTGCTCACTGGTCAAACTGGACAACAGTAGGTGACGGGGAATCTGCGGCATGCGTGGTTGAATGATCTGCCCAAGGACACAACCAGCAATGAGAGACCCTGGAAGGTTCATCACTCCCCAAGGTGAAGGTGAGACTTCGTGATGAGGCCTGGCCCACACCAGCTGCTCAGTACACAGCTGAGGGGACAAGAGGGCTCACCAGAAGCGGGGTTCTGTCTGTTTGATCAGCCCAGGAATACCTGTCTCCCTCCATGTAAAGGGGCAGACAAGCTGCTGCCTTTTGGGGTGGGCAAGGGGAAGCCACCTAAGGTGGGGTCTGAGCGTAAATGCCCCTTCTCCCTGCTGGGTTCCAATCTCCGTGAGCCTCCACGCCCCAGGTAGAGGTGTGCACGCAGCCTGTGGCTTTCCCAGGTTGCTCTGTGGCACCTCCCACACAGCTGGAAGCTGGGGACTGGGGACCAGGGCAATTGCCAGAGGGCCTTGGCCCATCCCTTGCCACCCCCTAGGTGGCCGGCACCCAGATGCCCAGCCTCACTGCAGTGAAGGTGCTAGGGGAAGGGACTCTGGGGTGTGGTGGGCTAACTGGCATGTGGGATGGCTCTGGGGGGACAGTGAAGAGAGGAAGATGATGTGCACGTGGAAGGGACACAGCCCACCTCAGGGCAGAGGAAAGAACAGAATCCATAGGGTGGCCTCACTGGGTCCCCTGCAGGTGCGGATGAGCTACTGCTTCCCACAGCGGCTGGGACCAGCCTCTGGGCATGGCCCTCAGGGCTCGAGGGTGGACACCTGCAGAAGGCATTCTTTAAAGCCAGTGCTTTAGGACACTGAGAACCAGCTCTAGACCCCCGTGCTCCAAATCCCACCATAGAAATGTCCCTTTTCACCAGGATATCAGGGTGGGGGGTTGCCAGAGTAGTGGCATAGCTCTTGTGCATGAACCCACTTCAAGGGCATGTGTAGTTCCTGTCTATTCAAATGGCACAAGAATTAGAAGGGAAAGTTCTAGAAAGGAGCCGATGCTGGTGATGTCCATTCCACTCAGTGAGAGCCATCCCAACAGCAGCAAGTAGGTCTGGGGACTGAGATGAATGACACTTGCCCCCAGGCCCCGCCTGTGAGAGGTGGCCACAGCAGAGAGGCAGTGTAGCCTGTCATTTCAGTTGCGTGTGTGTGACACGTGGTGCTGACATGGCATCAGTCGGCTTTCATCTGTGTTTATTTTTCTTTCATATAAAAGTTACACGTTTGAAATGTCTGCAGGAAGATGCCACTATGAGACGGTTAGTTGGGGGATGTATATTACAATGGAACACTGGGAGGCCGTGGGCAGCCGGAGCGGCAGGCGCTTCTCAGAACTGGAGCCCAGTGCCCTTTCCTGGCTCCACCCACACCTGCAGGTGAGAACTGACCAGAAAGGAACCGAATCATCCATCTCATTGGGGGATGTATATTACAATGGAACACTGGGAGGCCGTGGGCAGCCGGAGCGGCAGGCGCTTCTCAGAACTGGAGCCCAGTGCCCTTCCCTGGCTCCACCCACACCTGCAGGTGAGAACTGACCAGAAAGGAACCGAATCATCCATCTCAGTCGTGTCAAAGATTGATCCCCACAACCCTCCCCTGGGCCCCCGAGAAACAGACAAGTCCCGGCCAGGCTGCAGCACTGAGCACTGGGACCTGGCAACAACCAGAGCCGGGAGGGGGAGCCTGTCAGCCAATAAGTTAAAACACGCAGTGCACCCTGCTGTCCCCATGTGGGGAGCCACCTGGCACTGCCACCTGCTGCTTGGGCTCTTCTGCTCAGACTACCAAGGGCTCCCAGGGAGGGACGGGGAGGGCCCGGGGGAAATGCTCGGGCATCCTGGGGATGGGCACAGGGTCTGTTCTGAATTCAGGGAAGGTGTGGAGACCCCCTCTCTGTCCAGCTCACGTCTGAGAGCAAGGCGCACAGGCCCAACTGCAGACACAGATCTGCCTGCTGCTGGGCGTGAGTGGGCTGGTTTCTGAGGCTGCGACACAGCACTGGCCCTTGCCTGTGCCACAGAGGGAGACTCCCAGAGGCTCTAAATGGCACAGGGGTTTCGTTCACACAATTCAAAGACCTTGTGTGCACAGTGGACCCTCCCATACACGCAGCAGCATTCAACAGAGCTGGGCAAAGGACGGGAGTGCGAGGCAAAGGTTGAAATGAAGGGACTCAAAAAGAGGGAACAAACTAAAAATCCAACCCCACACACAATACTGCTAAGAAACCAGCGGTTCTCCACACACACTCTTTAAATAATAAAGTGACGGTTCCGGCAGCCGCCAGCAGGACTGCTGTCAGAGGCAGCCTCTCTGACGTTCCACAGATTCCCTCCCCTCTCCATACAGGACAAACAAAACACGAAAGAAGAAGAAACACAGCCCAAACTCTTCTTGAGAAAAGCTGCTCACAAACCCAGAAAGGGCTCAAAGTGACATGGTTGTTTAAAAAGTCTAAATAATCAACAGGTGTTGCTTTCTATCTTTTCTTTGTTCTGTTTAAACTGGGCTAAGTAAGCTCAGTCCGACCCTGGTGTTCACTTGATCAAGTCCTGCACCCAGCAGCAGTGAGCACTCGCTTGTGCACAGCAGCTGGGAGCCGGGGGGGACATGGGAGGCTCTAGCGGGCACCTGCTTGCTGAAGCAGTGCCCTCCCCCGCCCCCACAAACCTTGCCCTAGATTGTCAGCCTCAGCAGTGAGAGTGGTTTGTAACCAGGAGGACGGAAGAGAACCTGCTCTTGAAGATGCTCCAGCCAAGGAGAAAGCAAGCCTGCCTGGCTGCTCAGCCTCAGGGGCACCTCTGAGGCCAGGCCTCTGACCTCTCCACACCCCAAGGGCCTGCTTGGGCCTCTCAGGGATGCCCTGTCCTTCCCGGGGAACACTGATGGCTCTGGCAGGAAGGTCTGATGAGCCAGAGGAGGAGCCCACTGGCCACTCCAGAATGGGGCAAGATACTGGGAGAGACAGAAGACGGAGCTTAAGGCACACAGCAAGCGACGGAGGAGGACAGGAGAGCTCCTTTGCTGTCCCCTCTCTGAATTCACTCCCCAGGAGCTCAGCTCAGGCCCCAACTCAGACAAGGTAAAAAAGACTCCCAGCAATACAAAGTGCTTCTCTGATGGTGAAGTTCTTCCTCCCTAGCCCAGCCTCCTCTCCCAGCTGCCCAGAGGGACAATGTGGGGAAAGTCTTAGCAGCCTGGGCAGGAGGTAAAGGGGTGACAAGATGACAGGTGCTGCTGCTGCTCGCAGTCCAGCATGGGAGGCCTGTGGGCACAGCACCCAGCAAGACTGCCCAAGAGCCAGTGCCATGCTAAGGGGTGCCAGCTCCAGGGCTGCGTTAACACCCCCCGTCCTACCTTTCTGGGCCAGATGAAAAGCTCACACCATCCTCCATATTTCAAAAGCAGGGAATGGGGGGCAAAAGGAGCCTGCCCTGGTCTTCTCTGCCTTCTGACCACCCCTCCACACCTGCCTCATTGCAGCCGTAGGAGGGCAGCCCCCACACAGGGGCCTCTGCCTCCAGGCAGTTGCCGTGTCATTCAGGGACTCTCAAGCTCAGGGAGGGGAGAGGATCTGCCATTCCTTGGTCTGCTGATTCTGGTTCTGTGCTGCTCCCAGGCTGTAGGAGAGAGGGTGGCAGGGTGGGGGGGAAGACAGAAGTGAAAGCAGAAAACTAAACCAAACCAGGAAACCCCCGGGTCACAAATCAGTCCTAAGACCTGCCTGCCAGCTCCACTGCGGGCCACGTGTCTGCTCCTGCGGAGGAGGGAGGCAGGAAGCCGCTGGCGGGCTCCAGGCCCCTGCCCGGCATAGCTGAGGCCTGGCCAGCCTGTGGCTCTGTGGCCGGGGCGCTGGCAGCCCACCTGCCAGGTCCAGAGTCCTCCCTGGGCTTGGAGCTGCCCTCTGCCTCTTGAGCGTTCTCCTTGCTCATGGCACCTGCTCCTAGGTCTTCTCTTCCCGGTCTGTTTTCCTCCGCGTTATGTTCCTGGGTTTAATTTTCAGAGAGAGTTCCCACAGGGCCTCCTCGGCCAGGTGGTCACTAAAATCGTTGAAGAAGTTTATGATGTCGTCGTTTCTCCGGATGTCGTAATGCCTAGTGGAGGGAGGGGGCAGTCAGTGGGAGCAGTGTGGGCTGAGCAGCCTGATGACAACCTCTTGGAGGGCACCACATGGACCACCTGATGCCCCTCACTGTGAATGACACATCAGGAGCTGCTACCGCCCAATGTGACAAGAGATAGCGCCACTGGCACCAGAAGCTGTGCTCACTCTGCCTCCCTGGGCAGCGCCCCTGTGCTGGCCTGCCCACAGGGAAGGCTGCAGAAGCCTAGCACCCCTTTGCATGCTGACCTGGCCTGCCCCTGCTGCTGGAATCAGGCAGACCAGGGTCTGTCAGCCCCTCCTCATGGCAAGGGGGCACCAGCCTCCTGGTGTGTGAAATGGGAGGACGAGCTGGCCATGCCATTGGGCTCAGGCCCAGGGCCAGACAAGGAGTTGAGCCTGTTATGTTTGGTTTCCAGAACCATCCTGCCACAAATCGGAAGGAGCAGGCCTTGGATCCCTGTTCAACAGGGATCCCCTGTGCAGGGTCCCTGGGGCTGTCTCTCTGGGCACCTGAGCTGAGGTTCAGATCCCCCTCACCACCAGGGTGGCAGCACTCACGCCTGCTGGAAACATCGCATGCTGTCGAGGATGTTGAACTGCTGCCACCGCTTGGAAAAGTTCACTTTCCCGTCAATATAGTCTGGGTTTCCCAGGTGAACGAAGGTCAGGTCCTGCAGGATCAGCCCCCTGGGAGGATGGGTAAAGAAGCCCAGTCACCGCTATGAAAGCGACTTGGAAGGCACCGGCTGATTCCCTGTGAGTTAGCTGCACCACCAGGACCAGCCAAGCCTGACGAATGACTCCAGCCCACACCTTTAGGCCGAGTCTGAGCAGCTGTCAAAAATCCCAGAGCAAACCAAGGTGCAAGTCTAGGGTGAAGTATGGATTCACAACCACCTGCTGGGTCCCCTGGAGGCCACTCAGAGCTGGAGGAGCCTGGAATGCCCCACCTGTCCAAGCCTGTGAGAAATGTTCATGAACTGAGGTGGCAGCAGGGTGTGTGGGCACAGTTGTGGGCTGCTAATGCAAAACTGTTATTTTTTAAATTTGTTTGGAGGGTTCTTGGCTGCAGGACCTGTATCTCTTGGGGGTGAAGGCCTTGAGGGCAGCCTGACCTGAGGGAAGTTTCTTCAAACATTCAGCCCTGGGAGACTGCTCAGTCTTCTGTTCTCCTTTTGGAGATTCCTAATGTCCACTAGTATATTAAAGGCTCTGATGAGTCCTGCAACAACGAAACCTGTTTAGCTTTGATTTTTCCACTCTCTCCCTTTTCCATGAGCTATGCATTTACTCCATCCCATGGCCCACACTTGGGAAATGTTTTCTGAACTACTTTATACCAAGTGCTCTCAGGGTTCCTGGGGTTGATTGGGTCCTCAGGCTGTTCTAGCCTCCAGCCAAGTTTGAGAACCACTAGAATAGGGCTCGATACCACGTGTGGGAAAGAGGCTACATATGTGTAGCAAGGTCTGCACACACTCACGGGCAGGTGACAGAAGGAAAGTGGAGTGGGGCTGGGAGATGAGGTAAGAGAACTTCTACTCCTCATCTGATCCTTCTTTTCTGTTTAAACTGTGTTATGAGGAGACATGTTTTACTTTTAAAGTAAAATCGAAGTACAAATGTCTCAATCGGAAACCCTTCAGTGATGATTTCTCTGTGGAGCACAGTGCGTCTTCCCAGAGCAACTGAGAGGCAGACGCAGGGATGGGGGTGGGCTGCCTTCATTTCGGATAAAGGCAGGTGGCTGCTACTCACAGGTATGGTATGCACGGAGGCTCCACCTCGGAGAGGGCAGCCCGGTAGGCTCGGAAGGAGGACGAGCTGTCAATCAGCGTGCAGTACTCAGCCAGGCCCTGGGCAGGACAGAACATGGGGACACAAGTGCTAGGACAATGCTGGGGGACAGAGGTCCAGCCTTCCTCGCTGACCTACTGGTCAACCACCTTCTACCCACACTGACAGGGTGGCCACAACGTGTGAACACTAAGCTGGATCTGGGCCCCCCTGGCCAGCAGTGATTCAACCCCTTTTAACAGGGTGGCAGCCAAATCCCCTGGTCACAGGGTGACCTAAGGCCCTTTTGTGGAGAAAGGCCCCATGGTGCTTGCTGTGCCTGGTCAGAATCACTTTCTGGGCAAGCAGTGCCTACTGTGTGTACAAGTCACTGGAAAGCAGGGCCTCTGCTCGGTTCCTGCTCCATCCTGCAGCTCCTACACTACACATGGAACTGAGTCGCTCTGGCTCAGAGGTGCCTTCACTCCTCACCACACTCCAGGCAGGGTCACCCAGGGACGACAGGTGACCTTGCCTTCCAGCAGGGCTGAACTTGTGGTGTGGAGTCTTGCCTCTGAGACTCAGCCGATCCTGCTCCTTGCCCACAATGCCATTCTCCTGCCTCTTGTCCTGTTAGGTGCCTCCACCCTCAAGTGTCGCTTCCTCCCTGCCTCCTCAGGACCTCTCATGTGTTCCTTTGGCACCTGGTGTGAATCTCCCACTTCTCCATATGGCAGTGCTTTATGACTGAGTGAGAGGTCCGCAGTGGCCCACGTGAAACTCAGCTCGGGGGCTTTGCCCCCCTGCTCAAGGACCATCTTCCTATACAAGGACAAAGGTTCAAGTCCTCAGAGTGAGAGGTCCGCAGTGGCCCACGTGAAACTCAGCTTGGGGGCTTTGCCCCCCTGCTCAAGGACCATCTTCCTATACAAGGACAAAGGTTCAAGTCCTCAGGCCCCCTGAGGCCATCATGACCTAGAGATGGTCCCCTTCCCCAGTGGTGTGGCCGCCCTGGCCTCCACCTTGCTCTTCGAGGGCACCAAACTCCCAGCTGCTCCCAGGCTGTGCACGCCTCTGCCTCCTTTGATGGGAATTCTCTTTCCTCTTCAGGGGGTCGGGCCATGATGTGGGTGACACCTCAGGGCCAGCACACCTGCTCACCCAGCACCCCATCCTTTTCCTTTTAGTGCTTACCCTGTAGAAACCCCCCCAGTAAGATGTTGGTCCCGTTCCATGTCATGTGCCCAATGCCTAACGCAGCACCCAACCCAAAGCAGCCCCCTGAGAAGGGCGGACCAAGGAAGTGTGGAGCAGGTGATGCTGGGACCCAGGCGTGGGCTTGTGGCGGCAGGACACCATAATGTGACAGCCTTAGAAGCAACCATGAAGGCCTGCAGAGGCGGGAAATTGAGGAGGGGGCGGACAGCTGTCCCAGCTGCATGGCAGGTTGGTGGCAGAGCAGGGATCCCAGCATTTCCTGCTGTATGGCTCGTGGACTCCCACCATGCCACCCACGCCACTTACCTCTGAGGTCTGCTTCTGCCACTCCAGCCTGCGGATGGGTGCCGAGTCCAGCGCCGACAGGATGGCCAGGTAGGAGTTGAAGTTGTTTAGCTTCCGCAGGTGCTGCAGGGAAGGGCGAGTTCACTGTGAGGACAGGCACAGGGCAGGCAGGCCCTGAAGGGGAGGCTGGGGGAAAGGCTCAGCCACCATTACCTTCATGATCTTGATGAACTTCAGGAGCAGCCGTTCCCTGTCCTGGGCCTTTTCCTGTAACATGATTATCGACCGGACCCTATAGGGACCACAGGAAAGAGTAGAAACAGCTGAGATGACCGGTCTCCCTGCAGGTAGGCCCCGGGTAGTGCCGGTGCAGACGGGCTGTGAACAAGGGCTGCCCCTGCCTGCTGAGTGCCCTGGGCTCTTCTGGGGACTGGTGCCAAATGCCACAAATGGGGACCTCTGACCTGCAGGGACATTTTAGAGGATTGAGGCAGAGACTCTTCTGACAGGTGCCAACCCAAGCACTAGTGGGGTTGGGAGAGCTCCTCCTGTGGCCTCAGCACTGGCTCTGGGAAACCAGCTGGCATTTGGGTAAGAGGCCACGTTTATCTGCCACAGATAGGGAACCTCTCAAAACTTAGTAGCACCCAAAGCCAAACCAAAACCAAAACCAAGACGAGTCTCGTTTGTGCCACATGTGCAGAGGGGACCTCACGGTAGCCTCAACTTCCTGTGCTTTCCCAGGAGCCACTGCCAGGGTCACTTGGAGGAGGTGCCACACTCTGTGTTGCCTCTTCTGACCTGCAGAATGGCACCTGAGCTGAGTACACCTTGAGGACTATGGCTCTGAAGGGGCCTCACCTGCATCTCCTCCCAGCCAGGCCCCATCGGGTATGTTCCTGAGCCTCCTGTGCCCAGAGAGCACAGGAGGGGTCAGAGGCACACTGGGGTCAGAGGCCAGGCTCGACCTGTGTGTGCAACTGCTGCCATAGAAACCACCATATCCCATTGGGCAAAACCCTAAGCTGAGTGTTGGGCTGCTACCTCTAAGCACACGTCACTGAGGTGTGGAGTGCTTCCTGTGGGAGAAAAGTAGGAAAGGGGGAGATGACCCTCTTTTTCTGCAAATAAGCAGTCCTCGGGGCATTTAAAAACAGCCAAGGTGACCAAGGTGGATGTGTAGGGTGGGGCTTGCTGCACAGCTGCCAAGCTCTGCCTGATCCTCTATTGCGTGTGGAGACACTATGAGCATGTTTGAGTCACATCCTGAAGAGCCAAGGTTTCTAAATCATAAACACACTGTAGGGCTTCATTTTGGTTTAAAAATTAAAGGCTAAATAAAAGTATTAGCAGAGTTCACTCCTTTGCTAACTGCTCTTCTCTGCCAGACAGTCAGTGTGAGCATCAGCCCTGACGGCCACCTGGCAGTGGGGAGACTGGCAGTGACCAGCACAGAATGGCAAACTGGACTCCCTCTGCCCCGCTGTCATCCCTGGCAGACATTACTAGTTGACCCTGGCACTCTTCTTCAACCATCCCTGAGCCAGATGCCTCCTCAACCAGCCCTTCAGGCAGCCACCTCCAACGAGCCCCATCCTACCCCTTGCTCTCTGCCCACGGAAGGTTCACGATTAATCCCTGCAGGACCTCCGAAGGAGCTTGGAGGAGTGAAAGAGGCAGCTCCTTCTCTTCACCATTCCAGCTCTCTGCAAAGGAACATGCAGAACCCACCCAGGCATGCCACCGTGCAGAGCAACAGGGCTTGCTGCGGTGGCCCTCCTTACCAGTAGGACATGTTGTTGAAGTGCTCCGTGAACTGGGTCAAGTTGGGGCTCTTCTCCTCATTCTGCTCTTTTGCCCAAAGCAAAACCTCGGGAATCTGCAAAAGGAAATAGACTGGATAGAGGTGGAATCCTCTGGCTTTCCTGTGACAGGCAGATTCTCTCATCCAGGGAGAACCAACAGCGGCTCTCTGGGCCACAGCCCCCCTCATCGCCATACCTCTATTTTATAGAAGAGCTCAGCGTCCAGCAGTGTCAGCTGCTCAGCTATTTCATGGCTGTGAAAGTCATGCAAGGTCCCTGGCCTAGAAGACAGAGGCAGGAACAGAGCAGTCATGGGGGGTGGGGTGGGGGGACAGGAGCCGAGTGGGCGCTGGCTGCACCGCAGGCTCCACAGCAGGAGAGGGGAGGCCACAGGCTGGCCGGCACCAAGCTGTTCCTCGGGTCACTCTGGGCCCACTTTTCTCCCCAGGATGACGCTGTCTGCCTTCTTCTCCCACCTCTGCTGGGCGTATCTTGCTGCTTATGGACTCGGGAGACAGAGCTTCCCTCGTGAGCTCATTGGACAGTTCAGATGCCTGTGGACCCTCGCTCACAGCTGGCCCCACTTGCAGAGGCCCCTGAGAACAGGGATGGTGCTGTATGAACAAAGGCTAAGTGCTCACTAAGAAGGGGCTGACCCATCAACAGGTATCTATAGCTGGAATCGAAACTTACCACTGGGCTGGGATATAGAGGGGCAGGCAACAGACTGGAAGCTTTATAGAGGTTCTTAGGAACATTCAGGATGGCATAGGGGGCTGGACTAGAATTAACTACTGCCATGTCAGTGCTGGAAAGATAATTCGAAACTGACTTCAGCCTGGAACGTATCCCCTACCTGCTGTCTTACTGAGCCCCCACGTGCATGCCCTGCACAAAATATACACTCAGCACAAAATATACACCTCCAGGAGAAGAGGCCCAGTCCATGGGGGAACCATGGGGCTGTCCCCGAGGCCTCGTCACAGGGACTGGGCAGAGCCAGGATGGGAGGTCGTGGAGGGAGGGTAAACCAAGGAAAGCGGAATAGATGCGGCTACTGCAGAAGCTGGCTCCTCACCTGGCTGCTACCCCCCTGGCTGCCAGGGGCTGGTCGGAGTTGGCACACCGGAGCAGCTTCTTCTGGTCCACCTTGTCCAGGATGTTCTTCCGGAGCACACGAGCCAGGCTGAGCTCCCCACTGCACACCAGGCGAAAGACCAGTTCCATCAGCAGCTTCAGGATCTCCTCCGTCAACTCCACCAGGCTAATGGGCCAAAGGGTACAAGATGAGGGGCAGAAACACAAGCCCCAGGAAGAGTATGGAATCCACCTAAGAGTCCCATAGGCCACGTGGCAGTGATTGGCACCGAGCTGGGAAACCTCTTGTGGGAAGAGAGCGAGAGAAAAGATGGGGGACAGCTGCCTGCACCCTCAGAAGTGCCAAGAGCAGTCTGGTACTGGTACCAAGTACTGCCATTCACTCAACAAACGTTTGCTGGCACTGGACAAGTGCCAGAGACTATGCTGGGGACTGGGCTACACAGACAAATCCCAAACAAGTCCTGTCCTGGTCTCACCAGAGTGACGAGACACCAAGAAGACTTCCCAGCCCCGTAGACTGGATGCTCAAAGGCCACTTGTGGCCTTCCTCCTCAGCACCCTCCACGCACGGCCATTTCTAGCTTACAGCCACTGCTAATGTGGCCTCCCCCGCAGGAGGCAAATGCCCGGAGGCTAGGGGTCGGTCTGTGTTGTCCAACCCTGACTCCCCATAGCTGGGAGAGGGGCCTGCTCCGTGTGTACTGGTTAAATAAATGGAAATGCACGTGCCGTGCCTGAGACTCAGACAACCAGGGAGATGCTGGGGAGGGTGGGAGAGGCTGCCTCCCCTTGGCCTCCGACCCTGCTGGTAGCTAAAAGCACACCCGCGGTGGACTAGACCTGAGACACACATGGGAGGGATGGCCTCAGACCCAGGATGGACCCCACGAGGAAATCCAGAGCCTGGGCAGGGGCTGAAGAGGTGCCACACCCTGGTCTATGGGGGACAGGTCATTTTCTCCAAGGGCCGCATACGTATAGCCAGCAGGAGCAAGCTGTGTCTGGAGCTGGCGGCCAGTGCTCTGTGGGCAGGGACCCAGGAGAGGCAGGTGGAGTGTGACGTGCCCGGGGCAGAAGGACTCACCAGAGCTCATCCACCACCCGCACCAGCACGAAGAATGTGTTCTTGCTCACGCGCTTCTTGAACGTGTCAGCAAAGGGAGAGAACTTCTCATATGTGGAGCACAGGTTAAAGAAATAGCCCACATGGTGGGGAGAGCTGAGAAGAACTGGCTCCTAGCTGCCACTTACTGAGGTGCAAGGAACCAGGGACCCTGAGAGCGAGGCATTAGCACCTGGGAATAAGGCCCAGGATATGTGCCAGCGGCAGAGCTGCAGAACTGGGTACCAGCCCCTACCTGCCTGACCCCTGGCTGCTCTGACCACCACCTTCTGCCTGCGGGACTGTCCCCATGGCTTGCCCAGGCCTGCCTTTCTGTTGCGGCCAGCCTGAGATCCCCATGAGCTCACTAATAAGCTGACAGCTGCCTTGCTGGACCTCAGGTGGAGAAAGGTGGCCAACACCAAGTGCCCTCACAACCCCAGCTCCCTGGGAGCTGCACAGGCCAGACTCTCTCCTCCACTCTTTCCGAGGGTTTCCATCCTGGGATTGCCTCCTTGGGCTTCATGGTGAGCTCTGGCTTGGATACTCTCCTGGGGAGCTCCAACCTCGGCAACTCTGGGCAGGTCCCCCTTCCTCCTTCTCTGCCCTGGGAGTAGCACCCTCCACATCTGCTCCCTGCCCCCACAGCAGACCTTTAAACACCTGGCCACCTCATGCTTGGCCCCCAACCCGGGCTCTGCCTTGTGCTGCTACCACTGACTCTCCAGACCCCCTCTGACTCCATTCTGCCTGCCCTCTATCAACCCGTGACCTTCTGTGTTGTGGCACTCAGGACAGAGCCACACCCCAGGGACAGTCTGCTTGACCCACAGCACAGAGGGGTCACTGGCCCACTGTGCCCTGGGCCTCCATGTTGCAACAATTCCATGAACATGCCTGATGTGGCCAAGCAGTGCAGAGCTAAGAGCCTGGGCACTGGGGAGAGTCAGAGTGGGCTGCCCTCCCACCAAGTAGCTAGGTAGGCCAGCAGGTAGGCCAGCAACTCCACCTCTCTGAACCTCAGTGTCCTCAATTACATGAAAGATTATATGATGGCACCACATATGACATGGTAACTATGTACACAGGACATGGCTCACAGCTGAGTGAGCTCATGCGAGCTGTATGGGCTCCTAACGAGCGTGCCTGACCTTCATGTCCTGGGCCCGGCCTGTGAGCAGGCGCTGAGGAACACGTGAGGCCAGAGGGCCAGGGACTCTAAGGGGAGGGCAAGGAGAGAAGGGGAAGCAAGGGTGGGAGAGGACCTTAGATTGCACCAGGGAAGGCTCAGGGCACCTGGGCAGGGAGGAAGAGCCAGAGGATGCAGGACCTCCTGCTGCCCAGCAGATGGCAGTCATTGGGAGAGGACCTTAGATTGCACCAGGGAAGGCTCAGGGCATCTGGGCAGGGAGGAAGAGCCAGAGGATGCAGGACCTCCTGCTGCCCAGCAGATGGCAGTCATGGGCCACAACGCTAGCAGGTGGCTGAGGAGCAGGGATGTGTCACCCTCCTTTGGAGCGGCAGGTTAGCCTCAGCAGGACAGGCAGATTGGGACTTGAGAAAGAAGCAATGGGCAACAAAAGTGGGTCCTTCCAGACCCCTGGGGTCTTCCTCAGCCGCTGCTGCAGGGAGTGACACTTGGCAAGGGTGAGTCCATGGAGCGGGTCTGTGAGGAGACAAGAGCTGGTTCTAGTCACAGGCATGTGTCTGCTGCGGGTAGAGATGGCGGCGCTGCCCCCAAAGCTGTCTACGTGAGTCTTGCTTCCCTCCATCCCTGCACACACGGCACTCACCATGCCTGATGCCCCAGGGCTCGGAGAAGCTGCTGGCACCAACCACGCAGGCTGCCACTCCAGCATGCTTTTGCTCTTTCTGATTCTTTCTCAGAATTGCCCAGTGATCAGAACTGCCACCAGGCAGCACTCCCGGGCAGCGCCACAGGCACTGCTATTGACTCACTCGGCCCTTTGACAGAGAAGAACTGGCCTGAGGTCCCAGGGCCAGGACAGGGCAGAGTGGGGGTGAGAACCGTGGTGCATGGGACACCCCAGTGCCACCCAATCACACTGCTGCCCCCAAAGCTGCCTGGCTTCCCACATGAGGCTGCGTGGTGAAGAGGCCTGCGGCGTGAGGCCAGGCAGCAGGGCTGGGAAGGATATCTGTACTGTAGCTTCTTGATGAGCTCCTCTGGGGTGATGAAGGTCCTGTAGGTGGTCAGGAAGGCTTCACAGTACAGCACCAAATCTAGAGGAAAACAACAGTCACTCAGGCAGCACAGAGCACTGGGGGTGGGGGCAGCCCGGAGAAAAGCCCTGGCTCTGAGAGAGGCAGGTGAGGCAGCGGTGGCGGGCCTCTGGTGCCTCCAACTCATGCCCCAAAGAAGTTGCCCATCCACTCTGTCCATCTCTCAAGTGAGAGGGCGGATCAGAGACAGGGAAGGTAAGCAGGTTTCACCTCACAGGCACATTGCTCTCATGACAGCGCTGCCTAGGGAAGGACACTGCACCAGAGGTTGAGGCCATGCGTGGTCCCAGTGGGAAGAGAACCTCCGCTGAGAGGCAATGCCCACCCCAGCTAGGGCTAAAGATTGGCAGCTGCCCACGCCCAGATGTGCACCCCAGATCAGACATCAAGAGGCTCTCGTTTTGTCCTGAGGCTGGATCGTTCAAAGGATCTTAACCAACAGGGGCACAGAGAAAATAAGTAGTTCAGACTTGTTAGCAGGATCCTGAAGCTAAATCGCAAAGCAGTACTTTTAGCCGGCAGGGTCCAGTAACTCAAAAATTGCGGGAAATTCCACGTGTAGAGGGTCTTGAGGAAAGGGTGAGGAGGTACAGCTTGGCATGTGCTGGGACCCACCGTGGGCAGCTCAGGTGCCAGGAAGGGCAGGGCCAGCCACGAAGACTGAGGCCGCAGTTGGGCAGCAGTACCACCCACCACCTCCCTTTCCCGTTGGAGGGGCTGGTGCCAGCCAAGGACTCCCAGCCCTTCCAGAATCACAGAAGGCCCTGCTTATTTGCTGTTGAGACTCACACTCCCAACCATGCTGTCTCTGACATGAAAGGAAAAAGAGCAGAACTTTTCAACTACAGGACCCTGCCTGAGACCCATGCCCCGGCCAGCTCCTCCGGCTGGGGTGAGGAGCAAGCCTGCCGTGACCCCAGCCATGCTCTGCCGCCAGGCTGGGCGCAGACTACCTTCCCCTATCTTCTTTCCCTACCTGCTGGATGCAGGAACCCCAGGAAGATCCTCTTTAGCGAAGTAGCACTCACTGGCTGGGCACAGACACACACAGCTCACTCCCGCCCCCCACCCTTCACTCAGCACCCCCCAGACCAAACGAGAGGAAAACTGACCAATGCCTGCTCCTGCTGTGAGGGGCCACGTGGTGGTGGAGGGGACCAGCTAGGGAGGGAGGCTCACGGCTGGGCATCACAGCAAGCTCCAACCACACCTCACTCTGGTGCATTCCTGGACCTTCAAGCCCACCCTGCTCGCTGTGAAGTTATTTTTGCTCAAGGTGGCTGGGCAGGGAAGCAGAGAATGGATCCAGGTCTGCAGGTGCATGCTGACAGTAGCTGTGGCAACCTCTGGCCAGACATGTGCTAGGCTCGCTGGTGAGCACCAGCCCGCTCTGCACATACACCACGTCTTTCAACACCCTGAGCAGTCCAACAAGGGTGAGGGCCACTGTCTCCCCACTTGAGAGTCGAGGAACCCAGGCATGTGGCCATCCCACCTGTAGGCAGTGTCGGAGGGTTCGCCTGACTCCAGAGCTCTTAACCATCTGCTGTGCCCGGGGCTGTAGTAAACAGGGGTCGCCTAGTTTCTGGGATGGCTACACTTCCTAGTGTCCACTCGGCTCTCTGTACTTCCCAGAGCACTTTCTGTGCCTTGGCTCACCTGATCTTCATGACAGCCCTGGAAGGTGAGGTCTCATCATCTCTAGTTTTCCTCCTGAGGAACCGGAAGCTCGGGGGTTAAGTGACAGGCTCTGGCACACGTGGATCCCGGGGAATGGACAGGATCTGGGCTGAGGTCTGAGGCCAAACCCGACCTGACGCTCTCCCTGCAGCTTCTGACACGCACTGACCAAGAGGAGAGCTATGCGATGACAAAGTGCCTCCCAGCCCACTGAGCCCTGGCATCTGAGCCACGGGGTACCCTTTTCCAAACCCGACCTGACGCTCTCCCTGCAGCTTCTGACACGCACTGACCAAGAGGAGAGCTGTGCGATGACAAAGTGCCTCCCAGCCCACTGAGCCCTGGCATCTGAGCCACGGGGTACCCTTTGTTGGTGCCACTGGAGCAGTCTCTGGTCTGCAGGAAGCCACCTGCCCGAGCAGCTTGCTTCATTACCTGCCACAGGGCACCTCTCTCTTTCCAATGTGGCCTACGGCCTCTGCCTCAATTATACCTCCTAGGAACGAACAACTTTGGTTCTGTGGAGCCTCAAAATCCTTCCATTAATAAAATCAAGCAGAAACTCAGCCAGCGGCAGAGCCTCCTCTCAACAGGTCCAGCCAGCACAGACCCGAAGGGTCTTGGGTGGCTGTGCTGTGGGGTACCCCTCTGGCCTTGTCCACAGCTGGCTGCGCCTGGCAGGATGGTAGAGTTCACCCTGTTGGGTCAAGGCCTGTAGCAAGCTCCCATTTCAGCCCTCCACTTTGGGACAAAAATGAAATGGAAATTGCTCCTTATAACCTGCTGAGGACGCAGCTCTGAGGTGTCAGGCATGGAGGAGGATTTACTGCAGAGCAGCTGAGCAAGGGCTTTCTTAAAGAGGATTGTGGGGGGATGGCCGGTTAGCTCAGGTGGTTAGAGCAAGGCCTTGCAAGTGTTTGGATCCCCATACCAGCCAGTCACAAAAAAAAGAAAAAAAGAATCATGAATGCTCCCTGAGCACCGCCAATGTGCCAGGTGTGTGCTGTGTTATCTCATTTAATCTGCACAGAGTCATTCATGAAAATGAAATTGGTTAGGTTAAGGTTTCCAGATTGGGGTGTTTTTATTCCTTCCAACAGTTTACTTTAACACGATTGCTACATCATCTTTTTAATAATTTTTAAAAAGAAAACAAGTGTCTTTGTTTGACACGTCATTATTCCAGGTGCCACATACCTGCCACCCCCTACCCTCGTCCTCCAGAGGGTCCTACAGGCCCCAGGGTCATCACTACCCTTCATCAATGAGGGCCAGACATGAGCGCTCTGTCCCAGTCCCACTGTCTCCAAGGAGAGCTCCCACTCTGACCAAGTGGCACCAGGCCCATGCTCAGGTGTGCTCCGGGCTGCCACCAGGAGAGGAGAGGACAGCACAGTGGGGCCAAGCAAGTGACACCTGTGGTGGGACCAGCCCCACCCCAGGGAGGCCACCAGCACAGACAAAGGCTGCTGCTGCGAGAGCTGCCCTACCTTTCCTGTCGGTCTCAGTAGCATGGACCAGCAAGATGTCTCCAGACCCTCCACGGACATCTGGCCCATCATCACCCTGTAATGAAAACAGCAAAGGAAGGCATGACGCAGAGCATGGCCTTGGAAAAGTCAGGCACTGTGCTGCAGGGACCCCATGACCACTCCCCTCTGCTCCACACGTCCAGGAGCAGTGTGGCCATGCTGCGAGTGCTGGGTGCCCCTCCAGCCCACCTACTGCTCCATGCTTGGCAGACAGGCACAGATCAGACGGCATCTGGGAGCTAGATGGCCTGGGGGCTCCCAGACACCATGGGCACATCACTTTTTTGAGGACACTATTGGGTCAGGGGAACATGGTGTCACTGGACCTCCCCCTGCTCAATGACCCACAGGTCAGAGGTGAGGTAGAAGCCCTTACACACAGAAAATGGTATGATTCCACAGAAAGGGTGGCAAGACTGCCACCAGCCTCTCCCAGGATGCCTGCAGAGGCAGCGGGATCATTCTCAAGAATGTTTATGTTTCTAAAACTGCAGCAAACCACCCTAGATAGAAATCCATTTCCCCAGGTGGAAGTGGAGTCATTGTTGAAATGTCATAGGTTCTTCCACACAGCCCTTCATTAGAGTGTAAAGTGTCACAAAGACATCCAATGACATCTGATGCTGCTTATGTGACCAATCCCTGCCTGCCTATTAAGAAGCAAATCTTATTTCCATGTGGGCAAATACAGGCTTAAGCCGCTTGGCCTGGAGCCAAAAAGAGCTGTCACCAGGGCCAGGAATGGAACCCTGGGCCAAACAGCACCAGGCCTGCCACTCTTCTCCCCCGACTGAGGCTCCAACCTCCTCCCTATAACTCAGAAGGAGACACAACCAACACCCCTGGGGTCCCCCCACCGCCGCAGCACACACTCCGAGACTCACCTGCCTTTGTAAAAGGGCTTTGGTGTTTTTACTCCCCGACTCCAGAATCTGACAGTGTTTTGGATTTACCTTTGTGAATGGCTGCAGCTGTGCCCATGACATGAGTTTTTGGAGGAGATTTATGGCAAGGGTCACAAAACATTACTTCTCTCTGTCGAAGCACCCCCACCAGCCCTGCCAATGCCTTCCTGGGCTGCTCCCTGCTATGGCTGGAGCCAGCTCAGCCTGGCCCAGCAGTGTCCAAAGGGTACTATGTGCCTTCTCACCCATGTGTGTGTGCGCGTCACTGCCATCAAATTAGAGCCCAGAAACATGGCCACCTCCTCAGGAGGGGCCAAGGCTATTTTGTTAAGTTGTTACTTTGTGGTTCTAGAACTGTACAGTAGAGAGGCAAGGCTGTTTCAGCTTGGCTTCTCCGTTTATCGTGACAGGTTTGGGTGTTGTTTTCGCTGAGGCTCTGCAGACAAGGCCCAGGATGGAGGTAGCCACGGTGTCCGGGCCTGTATCTACACTGGTGGGGCTTACCACTTACGAAGGTTTCATGCTCACAAGATGCTCAAGTTCACTCTGCGGCAGCATCAGGAGAAGGGGACAGGACACTTCCTCCTGGAACCCACCCCCTCCAGGGGCCACAGCCCAGAGAACCACCAGGAGTATGGAGACTTGGTCTCCCTGTCCAGCTTGGTCTTCCTGCTTGAGACACCTCAGGTCACATTCTCCTCACACCCCCGCACTCTCGCTTTGTGTGCCATGCTGCAAAATCCAGGCCTGTGAAGTCCTCACCTCTTGCTTGAGCGTCAGCCTGGCCATAATTTCATTGTGGTCGATGAGGGACAGCTCATCCACTTCGTCTTCCAGCTGGGCCGACTCCAGAGCATCTGGTGACTTTGGAGCCCTGGAGGGAGGAGTGGTTTGTGCTGGAAGCATCAGAGAGGCCCCTGGACTCCCTGACACCCGGGGCTGAGGCAACGCTTGCCTATGCCTGGGTCAGAACTGTGGCCCTGAACAAGCCTGCCCTGAGTTGCAGCCACACGTGAAGCCAAGGAATGGATAGATGCCAGGGCGTGGACTGGATTCCTAGGTCTGCTACTGACCAGCTGTGCAGCCTTAGGACGTTTCCTACTCTCTGTGGATGCCCCACCTGTATGTGGGAGGGATCACGCTGGGAGATTAAAAAGGTTCCATTGGATTATTAACATACAATGGTTTCAGCCACTCTGTCAAAGCCCACGGTGTAGACTGTCAGTGTTTTTTTTTTCCTTTTTGTCTTTTTTTTTCGTGACCGGCAACGGATCGCAACCCTCAGTGTCGTGCCCGTACCGGACCGGGACCGGCAACGGGATCGCAACCCTCGGTGTTGCGCCCGCACCTCACTCAGCCAGTGAGCGGCCGGTCTGTATGTGGGATCCGAACCCTCGGCGGGAGCGCCACCGCGCTCCCAAGTGGCGCACTGTAGCACCGGGCCGGCCCAGACTGTCAGTGTTTAAGGAGAGGAGGAGCAAAGGGCAGGCAGGGTGGGAGGAAAAGCCAGCACTGCTCCAGATGCCATTCCCCAAGGCTTTTCCGGGGGACTGTCTCCCCATCAGGCCTTTGCTTGGCATGAAGAAAAACCATAAACCAAGCAGACACGGTCCCTTGTTCTCAGGGTGCTCAGTCTAGTGGGAATCAGACTTCAGAACAGTGGTCATCGTAGAGCAGTGACAGGGATGCACAGAAGGGTAATGGCAGACTCTTACGTTCAGGCCTTTGAAAGGTGGAGTTATTAGCGATTTTCCCTGCTTCCTTGCAGTTTTCTGTACTTCTCACAGTTCCTACCTTGAACATGTACTATTTTGAGAATCAGAGGAGTAGGCATAAAGACTCCCACATGCAACGCCTGCAGGCCTGGTGAGCTGGCTGCTGTGGGCCGCTCAGGGAGGCCTCGCTGGGAGTACGCACTGCTCTTGGGAGACCTGGCTCCTCTCTGCTCATTTCCTACCTCTCACCACCATCTCTGCTGTCCTTTCCAGGTGCACTGCCAACTGCCGAGGGATCTCTGGCAGGCCCGTCTTTCCCAGCTGGTGATTCCTGAAAAGAGAAGTGAGTGCTGGGTTTTAGACTGGTGGCCCATGCCAGGGGGATCTGTCTTCCCAGCATTCCTGCCTGCAAGTGGCTTTGGAGTGCAAGTTCCTATGGAGCAATTTGGACGTGAAGAAGTTAATGATGAATGCAGTTAATTACAGGAAACACAAGCCCTCCTGAGACTAGCATCTTGCCTTTGGAGAGGTTGAAAGGTCAGCCAGGCACCTTTCCTCATCTGAACCTACTCATGAGCTAACACCAACATCCCACTTCACACACAGAAATGAAGGACAGAAGTCCACGGCCCTGCCCAGGACCACATGGCTTGTAAGTGGAAAAGCCTGGATTCAAACCCAGGGCTGTCTACCTCCAAAGCCTGTGTCCTGAACCACGGGGCCCTGCTGTCGTGCAGCAAAACCTTGCTGACTTCCTAGTTAAAGAAAGCTTTCAGGCTGTTTGGCCCAGCCAGTTACGGTCCCAAAGGGCCCCACTGCTCAGGCATGTGACTGTAACCCCCTCCCCTCCTCCTGGGTCTCTGGGCCCACCTTACTCAGCGACAATGTGGCCCCAACATCCCTGGTCTGTCACTGGGGCCACAATGGAGAACTAGAACAACAAGAATACAGAACATCACAACGGGAGTGCTTCAAGGCGAAGAAAAAGCCAGTACTGCAAGTGGCCACTGGTAGAGGGAGAGCCATGGAGAGTCAGCAGGTGTGGACTGCTCCACATGGGGGCTGAGGTGATGACGCTGGGACACAGGCCACCGGGGGGACAGGGAAGGCAGGGGCCAGCTGAACTCCCACAGGCAGGGCCAGATCCCACGGCAGTAAAACCTCCTCAGTGCTCTGTGACCTGCTAACACCTGAAGCGGGAGGTGCCTTATGTGGGCCTCTAAATACCTGTGAGGATCCCACTGGTGGACCATGCTCTGAATGGCTGCGCTCTGCCCTTTGGTTTGATCACTGGAGAGGACTTGAGTCCTCACGGACCTCCCCTCAAGGAATCTGTCCCACTTGGGCTAGTGGGAAGAGTTACTTTTGAAGCTTTTGAACTTGCTCCTGTTTTGCTGAAACAAAACCAGGGATGCTGATTGCTCAACAGAACTGCTGGACTCAACTGTCACAAGCTGGGAGGGTGATGATGTCAGGTAACTCTGCACTCTCAGGAGGGAGGTGCGCATCCAATTGGCAGGAGCTACCTGCCAGACAAACCCGGGAGTGATGGAGCATGCTGGGGAGGAAGAAGAGCCATGGGACGGAAGGTGGAGCTCCATAGTGGAAGATGTGATGGAGAGAATCCCACAGACAGCACCCGACACGGGCCCAGGGCCTACACCGGTCTGCTCCTGGAGATTTCTAGAAGACCCGTCCATCGGTCAGGCTTTGAGGAGTGCCACACGCACTGAAGCAGGAGTCAAGGGCAGACCTCCACCTGCAAGCCACATCCTCCTCCACAGAGCCTGCGGGGGCCCAGTTTGCTTGTGACCGGGAGGGGCTCAGCCACACAGAAGCGGGTGCAGGGAAGCAGCCCCGGGGCAGCAGGGCCACACCTGCCAGGCCTGGCCACATGCACGAGGCCGCCCGAGGTTACTTACTCCTCGAGAGGGAGCCAGCTCCTCACTGCTCTGGCCAGAGGAGTACAGATTGACGTATTCACCCTCACCAGCGTCCTCGCTGGCGTTTTCACTCTGGGAGAGACAGGATGAGAGGAAAGATACATGGGACAGGCCCTCTAGCCAGCTCTCACAGCTCAGAGAGGGCAGCCAGCAGGGCTGGCCCCGACCAGGATGCTCCTTCCATGAGAAGAAGAGGACAGTGATAGCGTGCACTCTTCTCCCTGGGAAGCCTTCTGCAGGGTCAGAGAACAAAGCTGGCCTCTGTGTCAGAGGGAAGCTAAGTTTCCTGCTAGATCTTCTCTGGAGGTGTCAAGGGACATTTGAACAGTCCTGGAAAAGCAGCCCCACCGTAGTGGGGACTGTGGGGGACCCCAGTGTGGTGGGAAATGACTATGGAGTCAGGGATGAGGCAGTCCCTCCCTCCCTCTCCAGGGTGGACAGGCCTGGCCCCTTCTTGATTGCACTGATCAGAGTTTAAAGCTCCTCCTTCCTCAGTGAGACCAAAACCCTCTTGCTCCCATTCAGGGATGAGGCAGTCCCTCCCTCCCTCTCCAGGGTGGACAGGCCTGGCCCCTTCTTGGTTGCACTGATCAGAGTTTAAAGCTCCTCCTTCCTCAGTGAGACCAAAACCCTCTTGCTCCCATGAGCTCCTGTGGCTGCTGGTTCACACCAGATCCACGACACCTGCCCGAGGCACGGGTAACTTTTTCCTATTCCCCATCTAATTCACATACTCAAGGCCAGCCCCCGACCACCATCAAATGAATTAGTGGACGTGTCCGGCATGTCCTGCCCAAACAATGCTGAGCACTCTTAGACCTGCTCCAAGTGAATCTCTCTTCATCTCCTTTCTAGAGAAGCTGGGGAGCAGAGCCCTGTTTGGCACCCCAGGCTCCCCCGACCCTCACAGCACGTGCCACACTTCACTTTAACCTTCCTGTGACCATTAAAGATGCGCTGCAGCCTGGGAACTCAAGCTGGGTCTTCCTGGGATGGCAATGGGGTGGAGGATTTGGCTTTCTGGGTTCTCTATGTCATCTCTGGAGGGGGCTTACCCCATAGTGGGGCTCTCTCACCGGCTGGGGAGGCCCACAGAGAAGACAGAATAGAATGCACTGGCTGAAGGGTGGCATGGCATGGAGCTGGGAGCTGCTCCGAGGGAGCCCCCACATGACTGTTGGAGGAAGTGGTTTCAGTCTCCTGCAGGAGTGCAGATTCTTAGATCTGTCAGATGCTCATTCCCAACACCCAGGTGCTGTGAGATTTGCTAACAGACATCTCTCACCTCACCCACAAATCCACTCACGTGTTGCTACCTAGTTTAAGATTCACATTGAGTGCCAACTCTGTCTGGAGTCTTGACACTTTCCTCATCGATCCCCACACCCCTGCCCCCACATAAACTCATTAGCACTTAAGCATGCCCTGCAGTAACTGAGCACCTGACTTATATACACACGCAATTGGCTTTTGTGTAATCGCAATATCTTATCAGGTTTGAGAAGCATCTTCCTAACTGATCATATGGCGCATTCAGCAGGTTTTGATTTGACGAGCTTAGGGGGCAGACTGCTATGCAGTGTGTGGGGCCTCGTCTGGGAGGTGATACGGGGTCATTGCTAAGGGCACATTCTCAAGCCATCTAGACGTGGGCTTGGGTCCTGTGTCATCTCTTTCTGCCTGTGTGACCTCGGGGAAGTGACTTAAGTTCTTGAGCCTCATCTCTTTAACATTAACACGGGATGAAAGCAATGGTGCTTCTGCCACAGGGTTTCTGTGGATGTTCAGGGAGACAGAGCCACACACGTGCTCAGCACAGTGCTCTCAGTCAATGCTGGCTGTCCTCTCCCGTCCTCCAAACACCAGTCCAGGAACTGCTCTAAATAACTAAGCAGAGGCATTGAACAGGGGCCCAATACATATCAGCTGAATGAATGCATACCCAAGAATTGATTCTGCTGTTATTAAAGTGCCTAGGATATTGCCTGACTCATAGCAGTGTCTCAGCCTTGAATGTGGAAGGGCAAGAGACAAGCTCCGCCCACTGCCTGGGTTCAGGTCCACTGGTGGCGAGACTGGGGAGGGAGGCTCAGGGATGCCACCAGAGGCATGGACTGCCCAGGAGAGCGGCAACCACCAAGGAGACATGAAGGAGGGCCGGTATCTCTTGGACAAAGGTGTGCCCTGCCCCACCCCCTCCCCTTCCAAGGCAGCCCCGCTCTGGTATTCAAGCTATGTGGTCATGCTGGGCTGACAGCCAAGCTTGAGAAGCACCTTAGAGGGGGAGGGGGATGCACGGGATGCTCTCTAGTCACTGTGAAGACCATTCTGTGCCCCTCTGTGGTGCTGCAGACACAGGAAGCTATGTCAGGGCGCAGGACTACCCCACTTTCAACAAGTCCCAGTCTCAATGGACTCCCCAGAGAAATATTTCCAGGCCCTTTAAGATCACACTTACCCAAACAGGCAGGGAAAAAGGCAGGCTGGCCGTTCCACAGCAACGCCACCTCACCACAGCCTAGGGTTTATTTTAGGATCTGGCTGGTGCCTGGCTTTGCTTCTGAAGAGCTGTTGCTCTATGCAGCAGGAATTTTTATTTATAGCCAGAGTAAGACTGTTTGGGCTGTGGATTTTAGAACACAAAGGGCTGTCTGACTGAAACCTGCAAACTTCTGCAGAAGATCTGGTGGTTCCAGAGCAAGCGAGCAATTAGGAGAGGGGGCGCCTGGCCTCCAAGCTTAGCCCTGGTCACACAATCATCAAAATGCCAGCAAGGACTGCTTCCTGCGGATGAGGAGCTAAGAGTTTTGCATAGATCACCTCATTTAATCAACATGAAGTGCTTTTATGATCCTTATTATAACGAAAAAGGTGAGGCTGGTAGGGTGGCCATACACAGCTGGTAAGAGGTGGCATGGGGATAGCCTATGTCATAGTCAGTTCATGTTTTCTGAAACACTGAGGAGTATTGTGGGCACGTGACAGGACCTAACCATGAATTCCACAGCTCTGCAGGATGCAGCCCCACTAACTGCTCAGAGATCCCCTTAGCTGAGCATAATGCCAGGCATGCAAAATGCCAGGCATGCAAAATGCAGTGAGCTGAGGCTTCACATACAGCCAGGGGTGCAGAGAGCGGTGCAGGGACAGGCAGTGAAAAGATGCAAGCGGCAGCTAGCTGTCTTGGAAAGACATGCCTGAAAGAACCACTGAGTCTTAGGAATCTAAAAGATCATGGAGATTGATGACCTTATATGTTAGCTCGTGGCCAATTTGTTAAAAGGCAAAGCTACCTGAAGCTGCCCAGGTACCAGTTTTCAGTGACACTTTTTTCCCATTATAGTCCTGGCATGAATATTGGCTAGGCATGGACCCTGTGTTGCCTTGG